CCTGGTTTATGAAATTAAACTTTCCCACTGATGGTGGGACATAAACAGACAGATCACTGGTTCATCTCTCCACAGAAAACACCCTGTCCCACCTTGTGATGTCATGTGGTTATACAGGAAGTGCTCCACTGTATTTTTAAACTCCATACACCTTCACTAGAATCATTTGGATAATTTCAGCCCCTCAACTCTACTAAAAGGTAGATGTTAAATTGAAAACTACCACCTCATGACATTACAAGATGGAACTGAGCATTTTGAGTTTTGGAGATGTAAACAATCTATGTGTGAAACAAACAAAACACAAGTCCAGGTATGTTTTTGAGGAGGTAACCACATTGTAACATGGCTTAAATCTCACAATAATCAACTTTGCGTAATGTAGGACCTTTAAATGTTAATGAATGGAATGGATTATTTTTTAGCTCATGACCATATTGTGACATGACAGGTATAAATTAACCAGATAATCTTGACATCCCTGCAAGATAAATTTATTCTTCAAGCTGTCACTTATATTCAGATGTCATGCAAATATTCCTGTGAATTCTTTTGCCACATATTTGGACTTTTGTGTGTTTATCTGGACAAAAATCCTCCTCTCAAGTCTCCAGTGAATAGAGAGTCCTCCACCCTCTACTGTCTTCAAAATGATTTGTTTTCTGCATGCTTCCTGTTTACCGCTGCAGTACACGGTGCACTTGCTAAAGATGCTCATTTGGCTACCCAGGAAGATCAGTTAATCAGAGTTACACAAATCATTATAATCCCCCCATAAAATAAAGGCCATAATGTAACTTTGCATTATTGCACGTGCATACCAGATGTGTGCACAATCTAGCTGACGTAAAGAGCTCATATTACACCATCTTCTGATCTATGTTATGTTGTTTCCTCACCACAAACATACTTGGTGTTTTGATTTGTTTCATTCACACATGTTTAACACACAAACCCTGCATATTTTAGTTCTTCTCTCAAACATATAACACTCTGTTCCACCTTTTGATGCCATGTGGTAATACAGGAAGTGTTCCACTGTATTTTTAAACTTCATACACCTTCACTAGAATGACTGGGATAACTTCAGCTATGGAACTGCCAGTTTCTACTAAACAAAAGGTAAAAGGCAGCTGTTAACTTAAAAATTGCAGCTTCATGACATCACAAAGTGCAAAGGTGCAGCATTTTAAGGTTTGGAGATGTAGATAGACTAATAATAAAGGATTACTCAAACTTGTGTGAACAAAACACAACTCTAGGTATGTTTTTGATGAGGTAACATCGTTATAACGTGCCGGAAAGCTCATAAGAGTCAATTTTGCGTAACAGGACCTTAAGAAACACGATTCAATATCTCTCTCCAGCTCCGCATTACTTTTAACAAACACTTTGTTACACATTATGGAAATAGATGTTCTTAATCTCAGTTTCAAAGTATATGTTTTGGTAACATCTTACCTTCCCTCAAGCTTAATATCCATCAATAAATAAATCTATTAGCCTGTTTGAATCGCTCGTGTTATAAAGTAGCGGTCATTAACAGCAGACCTATATATTAGCTACATTACGCGCTCAGCCATGCGCACTGGCATCCAGTGCAGGTGGCATCATCAGGTAAATGGATACGCTGGTCGTGTTTTCTCCGCTGATAAGTCCTTTTGTTTCTTTGTGACCTGACACTATGGGGCTGCTGACCCCTCCCGCCAAAACCCCTCCCTGTTCATTTATCAGTGCCAGCGCTAATGTTATTCATAGAACTCCGTCGCGCCGTCATTTAATCACTCCCTGAAGCGGTGGGCTTCGTGCGCTGACTGTAGCCGTGGGGCAGGATGCATTCTGGGTAATTGGTCCAAAGTTGTGCGCTTCTGGAGTTATGAAGGTGAAGTGACTTTAGGACCGCCGCCACTGTTGGACTTGGCGACATGATGGGGCAACCTTTTTTCTTGCGAAACATCTCCTATCGTGTGAGTAACTGCTGCTTCCGGTGGTTTGTTCCGCTTATCTAATTATTTTAGTCATTTTCTTAGCTCAGGGAAAAGTTGAAGGTGCTGAATCTAACTGTATTTTACTATCTTGCTTGCTCTGTATTTAACATTTTAGCGTGCGTAAAAGTGCGCATTTTCCATTATTTTACAGCCTCGCATCCCACGTACCCCCATCCTTATGGTCGCTCGCCAATAGCTTTATGGCCAATATTAATCCACTTTTTGTATGAAAAAATATAAAATAATAATAATATCCCTTGATTATTTTCCCGTGAGTGTGTGGGTGGGTTTTATTTAGCTTATGACAAAGAGTGCTTTGGAAAGTTTGTTATGTACTGCTCCATTGAATAGTTTCCTGAACTCTGAAGAATATGCATCACTCACGCTGCTGGATTCAGTTCAAGTGGGCTTCATTCGTGTAATCTTACATTTCAATCTCTCTATTCTGTATAAGCTACCTCGCAAGCTTCCTCTTATTGTGAGTAAAAACGCATTGTTATGTCAGCTTTGAATTAGGCACTGCTAGGTTCAACATAAAGCAATTACACGTTTTTTTTTTTGAAGCTCTGGAATAATATGCAATAAGTAACAAATTAACTGTGAATAAATTGAAGCGTTTTTATGCATTTATGTGAAGTATCTGTCAATTGTGAGAATGTTTTAAAAAAATATAAATTGTAATACAAACAACTGACCTGTTTGTTTTGTAAGACATGCAAAACTGATTTATCCCCTCTGCTATCACCCCAGTATGTGTGTGTGTGTGTGTGTGTGACTAGATTGGAAAATTATCCCCAATTTCGGAAAGTATTTCAATTAAGTGATTATATTCATTAACTTTCTTGTGCAGTATTTCCATTGACTCCAGAAATGACATCCACACTTAAGATGCTAAATAGACATTATTATTAAACTACACTTTTTCAATAGTTGCATATTCATTTGTAATTGCACAACAGTCCTTGTTTGCTTTGTTTTGAGGGAGTGACTCATTTACAAGACAAACTGTGGGAGCCAGACTCACCCTCGCATCAGATAAAAGTTTCCTCTATGGTCAGGCAAGTGGAATGTCAGAAGTAAAAAATTTAGCTAAGACAATACAGTATTCACACTATATACCTAACAGCCATTAATGACATAAAGACAATGTCAACTGTAAATAGTTGTTAAAACGTTATATTGTTTTCCTAATACTTTTTCCATGTCTAAATAATGCCAACCCATATTCTCCCTTAGTTTGTATTTCCTCTTCAGTTTATCTCGAGTTATCTGGGAGCACCCTGGCTTCCTCCCAACATCCAAAGACATGCATATGTAAAGTTAATAGGAGACTTTAAGACGCCCTAAAGTGTGTGTCTGTCAGTGTCTGAGTCAGGTCTGCAACTTGCTGTGAAACTTGTCGAGTGTTAACTTCTTAAAGGGCCCATATTATTCTATTTACTGAACTATGTTATAATGTTGTTTCTTCATCAAAAACATACCTCTGCTCCACCTTGTGATGTCATGTGATAATACAGGAAGTGCTCCACTGTGATTTTAAACTCCACACACCTTCACTAGAATCATTTGGATAATTTCAGCCCTGGGATTATCTCCAATCTCTTCTAAACTAAATGTAAACAGTAACTTGAAAATAATCTCTTCATGACATGACAAGGTGGAACAGAGCATTTTGAGCTTTGGAGATATAGACCATTGTTTCCCAAAGAGTGGAGTTGCGAGCCTCAGGTGGGTCACAAGAAATTTCTTTTGGGTCGATCTGCATGTAGTGCCCCCCCTCACCTCCATGCTCCTCACTTCTTCTCCGTACACGGAATGTCCCGCTCCTCACTTCTTCTCCAATTAGTATTACTCAAGTTTTAAACAATGAAAAACAGTAATCAGTGTTTCCCACAGAAAATTGGTTAGACAAGAAGGTGCTGCCGAAAAAGTGAGGAGCGGGAGATTCCGTTCCTCACTTGTCAGTCGACAATAAAATATCGTCATTAATGTTCAGTAATGGTCACAAATTTATTTTTGTGATTTACGAATGATGTCTATTGACTTGGGTTACGAAGATTTGTGACTTTAAAAATATGGGTCTCCAGAAAATAAGTTTGGGGAACACGGACATAGACAGACTAATAATAAAGGGATACTCAAACATCTGTGAATGACACAAAACACAATTCCAGGTATGTTTTGAGGAGTTAACCATATTCTAACATGCCATAAAACTCAAAAAAGAGTCCATTTTGTGTAACATAGGACCTTTCAATCTCACAGTTGTCTCCTGTTTGCAAAAGTAAATGAAGCCATGACAATAAATATATAAAAGATGGATGTTTTGTAAGCGCATATGATGCATCGCAGGCTAGACATGTCTGTATAATCTGTAATTGGCTCCAGTCGTCTGTACACTGTAAAGCATGTTGCTGGCGAAGTCCTTAATTCTAATTTAATAGGAGTGAGTCTTATCCTGATAATGACTTACTAAGCCTCTTTGGTACATGGCTCATATGATTGGCTTGACTGTGCTGGATCAAAGGCCTGTAATCTCCAGCAAGAAGATGCTCAAAGGTGGAGGTCTTCACATCAGATGATTTGACCCATTATTGGTATTTATGCCCAAGAAAGTGTGTTTGCTAACTGTGTTTACCAATGAACAGGCCTAATGAGCTGTGCACCATCTTTTGCTGATGATGAATAATTCAAAAACGAACCAAGAGTGAAACTAAATTAAATGCTGTAGGCAAATTAGTGGAGTAGAAAATGAATAAAATAGAATTCTTTTTTAATTTAAAATTAAGTATTCCCGGGATTATTAACAGCATAATAAATAGGAAAATATAACAAACAGCAAATTAAAGTTAGTGAAGTGAACATTCTGTATCATTTAGCAAATATTGTGTAATAAATCCCCATAATGCATGCACAAATTAGCAGTTTGTGATTGCGTAACAAGACATGGCAGTGATGAATTCATGCTACTGATATGATCTCATTTATTACTGGGTGCCTGTTTGTGCTCAGGATGACTTCACCTGGAGCAGCGTGTCAGGACGGAGCGTTGGCCTGAAGCCAGTCCCACTGCAAAGCCTCTCAGAGCTGGAGAGGGTCCGTCTGCAGGATGTGGCCTTCAGAAGACTGCTGCAGGACTGTGACCTTGGTTGCCACATCACCATACCTAAATGTATGCACACACACTCACACATGCACACACACACTCTCATACATGCACACACACTCACACACTCACACACTTACACACACACACCAAACACCACACAGTTGGGTTTTAACTAGGCCATTTCAGGCAAAAGGCAGATGCTTCCTTCATTACTTTTGCAATAAGATAGAGCCACAGTGTCTGTTGGTGATTTGATGGCTAACGGAAATTACTTGGGGAAACTTGACCAGTCGCTTGCAGTACATAGGAATGAACCTTAAATGTAAAATACCTATGATATCAAATACATAAAAAAAATCAAATAGAGCGAGGCAGTTTGACCAAAAAATATATCGATATTAAAGAATAAGAACATTGCACATCTATTTCTTGAAACGGGTGCGTTGGAAGAGAGGGAGCGGCCCATAAACACGAACAGAGAAGAATCCCACAGACTTCACAATTTGCAAGATGGTGTGCAGGATTTTTCTCTGTTCAAAAATAAAATAGTTAAATTTAGATCTGATCCCTCTCATGATTTACTATTTCAGCCATTTCTTCATATTGTGATTCTGTGCTTCTCTGTGAAATGCAGCTCTAAAGCTCAGGTATTTTCCCCGTCCTCTCTGTGTGGTCTGTCACCGTCATGGTCTGAGTGAGTGACAGGTGGACTCCTAATATAAAAAGCAATAACATTGTTACGGATAATAAAATACACCTAACTATATGCAAATGAACTGAATAATAAAACGCAAACAAAACAAAGCCAGTAACTGTGTTATGTCGTATGACTACTTTGTTGAATAAGAAATAAAACAAATGTATTCTCACACTCAGAGAATATCAGGTTTAAGATTTGATGTGAATCAAAATGATCATTTGAATTTTAGATGTTTTATGTTTTTGATGTAGACTATATGAAGGAGTGGACTCAGGAAGTGTGATGTCACCCGCAGCATTCGGCTCCAGTCAAATGAAGAGCAAATTTGGAACTGAGTTCCATATTAGGACTAGGAATTTATTCATGGACAAAATAGTGAAACAAAATACGAACATTTTAAGACCAAAAAAGTTCATGTAATTTTAGTAAGACTAATATTTGAAAAATAAATATTATTTGTTTACACTTGTTTGCCTTTTAGATGACCAGAAGCACAAGAAGTCCCTGAGGCAGAAACTGGACTCATTATCCAAAGAAAAACACAAAGACAAAGGTAACATGGACTTGTAAAGCTTAATAGCTTTATTTTGTGATCACTTTAATTTCACATCACATATTCCTGTTTGATGTCTGATGTTCAAAGCGTGTTCCACATACCTCGTTTTTTGTACTTTTGCTGCACTTCTGACTTTTGCGAGACTCCTTCCCACTTCCAGTTGCAGCCCCATCCCACCTTCTCACACTTGAAAGACACTTTGATCCTTTTGGCTAAGGCTCTATAAAATCACCAAAGCAGACATTCTCCACATTTTAGCCCCACAGCTACTTAAATCTCCCGTACAGTAAAAGATGTCTCATAGGGGCTCAGAGCTGCCCTGCCTTCCTCCAATATCGTGCAGGAAAGTCATGTTTCTGTCAGACAGGGAGCCGAGGGAAATAACCAAAACAATCCTAAGTGGTCGTTCATTCATTACGGGCCACTCCTCTGCTTAGGCCAGCCCCCTCTTTCCTCTGCAGCTCTTTTGTTTACAGAGGAACTTCTAAAACTATGCGCTCTCTGCTCTGAGCTAAGACTGTACACCGCAAAACATGACATACTCCTTATATTGACAATGCCAAAGATGAAATTACTCAAATAAAAGAAATATTTTGATATTTATATTGTATGCATTTGTTTTATATCATTTTAGTACTGTCAGTATATTGACTGATGCTGTTTCTTTTTTTCTTAATTTTTTCTTATTTTTAAATGTCCCATATTACGCTATTTTCTCTTCTCTTATAATGTTGTGTCCTCATAAGAAAGTAAGATTCGATAAGATAGCAATATTCTAACATGGCTTAAAGCTCACAAGAGTCAATTTTGTAATATAGGACCTTCAAAAACTGTTCCATCATACTTTAGACCTGGTTTGACCCCTGTTTTGTCCTAATCAAAAGTGCTCTATGTAACTTTTATTTTTGTATATGACATTTTATTCAATTAAAGGTGCTTTTTATTACATTCTTACTCCACAAATCAGACTTATAAGTTGACTCCATGGACAGATACATCATACCATACTGTGGAACTTTCCGGACAAAACAATAGCATCTCCATGGAGACATACACTCTACCAGTAACGTTACAGAGTGTATCTTTGAATGAGACATTGTTTTCTCTTAATCCATCTTTTATCTCATGATTTAGACCTGTCTTAAGAATAAACTGTATAAAGAAGTGGACTAAGCAATCGTGACGTCACCCATAGTGTTCAGCTCCACTCAAATGAAGCTTGTGATGCTAACGGTCACAGAAGCAAATTTGGAGCCAGGCTCGATATTATGAATAGGATTTTTTTAATGGGCATAAAACACAATCATGTAGAGTGGGTTAATATGAACATTTTAAGACCAAAATGAGGCTCACTGCAGCAGTTATGGAGAAAGGGACCACAGTATTCCAGTGTAGTCAGTTGGAGCCATGGTCAGTAGGAGCCGGAAGTGTCAAAGTGCATTTGAACATCCTATTTGCGACGCAGTGGCTAGTGCATCAGCTATGTCCATTTATATATGCATTCTATTATTTTAAGTCGAGAAGAACATGTACAAATCCTTATCGCCTTTAGTTAGAACATGGTGTAGTTGGTCTTACACTCTCATTCATATTCAACACCCCTCAAAGGACCCCGACCCACAACGTGATCTTTAAACTCTTCTTGCCCTTTTCGCTCACACAGAGTCTTCGCCTCAAGCGTTTGGTATTGCACTGTCCCAGGTCATAGCCAACGACCGCGTGCACAAACAGCGCCACGATCCCCTGAGGGCGGAGCACAGTGACCCCAGTGAACTGGTGCTCTCCTTCCTCCACCTCACATCCAGCTTCAAAAGGACCAACAAAGATCTGTCCAGCAGCAACTCGTCTCTGAGCTCCACATGTGAGACCCCTAATGAGTCCCCTGTACGCGGCACGCCCGACCCCGCTCCCAGGACACGCAGGAGGGTAAGGCTGCTCCTGTCACAAACACACACAAAAACAGCAGGGGCAGTGTCGGATTACATGTGATGGAGTGTTAGTGACCTTTTGGGTAAATCCACTTGGAATTTATAATGCATTGTGATCACTGCTGACAAGTTTGTGTGAAAAAAGAAAAATCCAGTTTTAATTTAATTTGACTAGATGTAAATGCCTTCTTTTATTAGTTCAAATTCAAACTTTTCCAAAATAAAACTATGACCAAAGAAAGCAAATTTTGAATATGATCTTTTTTTTAATTATTATTAACTTGTACCAAGCTTTTGATTAATCCAAAGGTGCACTATGTGTAATTAATATGATTAAGTGAGATTCAGGAGCAGGACCACGCCTCAACCTCCCTCTCCTCACCAGCAAAGCAAAACTCACTTCGACCACACCTCTAATTTCCTAGAAGCATATTTGTAGCAGCCTTTCCCATCATCCCAGTTTCTCAGCTAACTCAACCCCACCCTCCCACCTCCTATCTTGTTCGTCTTTGAGTCATAAGACGCCTACGAGGGGGGTCCTGTTCCGGCTGGGCCAATTGAAGATTGAGACGGAGCCCCCCACCTAGAGTCTCAACCCAGTCATCTCCGCCCCGCCTCGTACATTATCAATAAACTTCTTCTTCGCTCTGTGTCATTGTTGGCGTGGTCCTCGCTAGTGAAGTAGCTTTTATGGTGGAAGATCTGTTCCTGCTTGTCTGTATGGAGATGCTATTGTTTTGCTTGTGATGTTTTACAGTGTGGCAATGTACTGTATTTGCTTATCTTCAAAGAGAAGCACAAGATCCAATTACACTGATATTCTCTGTAATCAATACAATGTAGTGTCTAGTGTCTACAACCACTTGGGCTCCATGATTACACCAGTTAGATGCACTTACACCTACATATACCAGCCATAGACTGTATAAAGAAGTGGAATAAGGGAGTGTTACATCACCTACAGCGTTCAGCTAGCAGTTATAGAAGTGAATTTGGAGCCAGATCCATTTTAGAAATAGCTATTTATTTGCATTCAAAGTGGCAAAATAATAACACCAGGTTCTTGTAGAGCAGGTTAATATGAAGATTTTAAGACCAAAATGACAAGACTCACTGCAGTAGTTACAGGAGTGAGGGGAGACAAGTTTCCAATGTTAAGTCAATTGGAAACAGAGCCGATGGAGCAGGAAGCATCTCCTTGAACACTTCCTATTTGGAATACCGCGGCTATGTCCATATATATATACACAGTCTACAATACTAGGAGAAAGGTTTTGCCAAAAAAACACCACATCCAAATCTGGAACTAGCTGATAGGAATCAATATACCAACTGTAGAATATGTGGGCAAGCTGCTCTTTCTACTGAGCTCCTGCTGAAAAGTAGCCTATACAGTATATTAAGTCAAGAGTCTCAAGACACATAAATATTTGAATGGCAATACACTTTTACTTCATTACACCGCAGCGATGAATAAATCAGACAATGTCACAAGCAGCAGGGGATGTGTCTGATTAGATTTGCACTTTTGATTTCTCTTTGACCTTTTTGGATATTCTCTTAGCGTGATGGAGGATTGGTTCGGCCTCCTGCATCTCCAGCTGTGTTTTCATTCACTTTTTTGCGGTCACTTCTCTATTGCCAGGGTGGGGTGTCTGTGGATTGCATCACTGACCTTGATGATAACCAGTCCCGTCTACTGGAGGCCCTGCAGCTGTCTCTGCCTGTGGAGAGGAAGAAGCATCATGACAAAAAGCTCAGCCTCAACCCCATTTACAGACAGGTGCCCCGAGTAGTTGATCTGCTGCCAACACCTGGAAAAATATGGTACACTTTCACTTTGAGAGTTTAAAGGGAAACTGGAAATACATATAAGACATATAGGTTTCAATTTTGCACATTCAACTTTCTCCATCTCTACTTTAGGGCTCCAGACTGTGGGAATATTTCGAGTTGGAAGTTCAAAGAAAAGAGTAAGGCAGGTAAGGTTTCAAGGACATTTAGGAATGCGCATTTTTCATTCGCAACCACTGACCGCTATTGATTTCATGGTTTGTTGCGGTTTCTTTTCCTTAGCTTCGTGAGGATTTTGACCAAGGGTGGGAGGTCACTTTAGATGAGGAGCACAGTGTTCATGATGTAGCGGCTCTGCTCAAAGAATTTCTCAGGGATATGCCAGACCCACTTCTGACAAGAGAGCTCTACACGGCTTTTATCCATACGATGAGTAAGTGTAAACAAACAAAACATGATGTTATTTTTGTTTAATTGCTTTGTAATTATTTGCTTTTCTTCCTATGTCAACAGTGCTGGATTTCTCAGACCAGGACAGGGTGATTCAGCTCCTGCTCTTTCTGCTTCCTCCGTGTAACAGTGACACACTACAGCGGCTGCTTTGTTTGCTGTCAACTGTGGCTAAACATTCAAAAGACACAGTGGACAAAGAGGGACATGAGGTAAAGAAGCTAAATATTTAATTTTTTTACTTTGTCCAGAGTTCATAAGCGACTGAGACAAAAGTAAAATAAAATACGAAATGCAGTGCAAAATGTTGTACAACAAAGGACATATGTATTACAATAACAGAAACAAATACACCCTCCCAAAGACAGGTAGTGGTTTGAGGGGAGGTATCCTACTCTATGTAAATATTGGCGTCTGATTGGGAGGCCTGAATTCAAATTTCTGCAACTGTTCTGCAATGTATATTTCACACTATTATGCCAATCAGCAGCGTCAGACTGCAGAGGGTAAAGGGTACCATTTAATCAGGGCCTCACAAGTCTGTAATGTGCTTTTTCATTAGGCAACATGTAGTATGGTTCACCAAGATAGTTTGTACCCAGGGCCCAGAATTGTTACACCCCTCGTGCCAAAAGTCAAGAAACAGCTAGGAAAACATTGGACATGGAGGAATTTCAGTTTTTGAACTGTGCGTAGACTGGACCAAGTGGGAGTTGTCTGAGTTGTCTCTAGAGAAATCAGAGAATAATCTGACAACAAGAGTAGCCTGAGTAATGTGTATCAGACTAGCTGGCTGCTTATGTACCCAATGAAAGGCTCAAAGTTAATGGAGTAGGCTCCAGTTTCTCTGATACAAAGCTCTTTGAAAAGATATGATTTGATGAAACAATAGTAAAGCCAAACTTTTTCTAAGGTTATATTTTATTAATAAAAAATGTTGCTTTGTTTCCGAATTTCCAATGCAATCCACAGGAGTACATAATACCATTCCAAGCTTTTAAATCAATAGAAGCAAAGTTCAATATGTGTTTCATATTATCTGTTAAACTTTAAACATCCTCATAACCAAACATAATGGTTTCCCACGAATATGAAAGCAGTTTATTCTTGGCCCCAGTCCTAGAGCATACATACTGTACCAGGGCACACTCAGCGCTACTAACAGCCAGTCTTATTGATAGTGGCAGATACTTGTTAGGCACACATTCCCAGAGCAATAAGCAGCCTGTCTTTCACAAAACCTCTTATAATATTATTGTGACCTCCTCCTTTTCAACCTTATCGTGTTAAGCTCTTAAACAGAAAGCAAAGGACAATTTAGTGCAATTATCTTTTGAATGATATCTTCTCATAAATTATTTCCCACACCAGGCACGTACAAAGATAATCACAATTGCCAAAATAAATTAATCTGTCTTCTCCTCTGTGTAGGTAACAGGAAACAAAATGACGTCGCTGAATTTAGCCACTGTATTTGGACCAAACCTGTTACATAAACTCAAGAGCTCAGACAAGGAGTTTGTGGTGGAGAGTTTGGCTCGTGTGGAGGAGAGCACAGCCATCATCAGCCTGGTGCAGAAGATGATCGATATCTATGACACACTATTCATGGTAAGGGCCCTATACAGTGTCAAGGTGTTGATATATGTTCAGCAGGGCCAAAGAAAGCCCTGGAAGTATCTGCTGAAAACTGCTACACACGGCTAGTCATTTGTATTCTCTCTGTATGGACTGGTTTATTGGTCATGCCTGGGTTTAACAAAGTGGAACCATCTAATGAAATGTGAAATTAGCTTCATAGGCTGTAACTACCGATCTTATAGAATCACTTATAAAAGCAAGCAGAAATAATGAAACTAAGAATGCATATAATTCATTGACACTCTAACCACTTTAACATTTAATTCAGAAAACTGACCACGGAGTGCCCAGTGAAATATACACCACATGTTTAAACACAGACATTTGTTCATAAGCAATGACTGTGTGCAAGGTCAGACTGCTCGTCTTTATTGCCCTCTGTGTCTTCAAATAGAATCTTAAGTGCAGGCACGTTTTATTAGACCTCTGAAAATCTTCATTAACAATGCCAAAAGGCAGAAAGCCCATTAGACACTCTCTATGCATCATTAGTGCTGATGTCTAAGTGCTGTTAAATCCTTACTGCTCTGTTTACTGCTCATGTTACAATGGGAGTGTTTATATTATACTAGCTATTGTTCAAGATTTTATATGTGCTTTTCATGCACTTACTTTGATGCCCTTCAATCTGGTTAAGTCAAATAGTTGATTGACTTTATATTTTTGCAAAGTATTACAAAGTCTGTGCTATTTTAAATGTACATTTTGAAGTGTTTTCAAGTGTTAAGTTTTTAAATGTTGAATAAATTACGTAACTTCAACAACTAATACTGCTATCTGTATTACAGCTCTTATTTAAGTATTATTGTTATTGATAATACTAATAGTGATAATATTGCTATTAAGATGAAATACTTTTACTTTCTTCAAAATCTTCAAAAATGTTCACACTTTTCACATTTTGTTGCCTAAGTAGTACAGCAACAGACTTTTAAATTTTAAATAGAGTAGTTTGTTTTATCTACCAGGTTGCACTGCCAAATTTGTTGCCCAGAATAGAGAGACTAAATTGGTTTCAACAAGACCATTTCATGGTTTATTTCAGGCATTTGGGGAAGTCATAGAATTTTACTACTACTAAATTCTCCACAGTGCACCTGTGACAATGTCTGTGTGCAGTCATGAAATCACAGTAAACACAAATCTAGATTTTTTATACTTCCAATAAAAGCACAATTGTTTCCCCAGGTCCCAGCTGACCTGCAGAATGAAGTACTGAAGAGTTTGCTTGAAACAGATCCAGATGTTGTCGATTACCTTCTGAGGAGACAGGCCTCACACAATTCGTAAGGTTTTGCTAACATGACAAATGACTTAGTGTATCTGATTCCAAATGCATTTTAAACTCAGTTGTTTTCTTCTTTTTAGAAATCCAGATCTCATTAGACCGGAGGAGCACTTGTGTCTGACTGACAGGTGCTTATCCAGTGACTCTATCAAAGCGTCGAGTGGAGAAGTGTCTCCCTATGACAACAACTCACCAGTTTTTTCCAATCACCGGATGTGTGAATATACAGGCGACAGCAGCTCACTGTCATCCAAGCCCAGAGACCACTCTTCAGGCAACAGTTCTCCCACACTTTCAACAGACAAGCTAGGTACACACCAAATTACTTTTTGTATATTATGTATGAATAATGTAGCAGAACTGGGTCCCCCTATAATTTTACAGCCCTGTAAAGTTGTTTTACAGTTTGTTTCTGGAATGCAATAATGTCATTCGAGCAGGAGGGCAGTTTTTCTTTGATTTTATAGTTTATACATATTGATAATGATTATGTAAAATCAAAAATGAATTATAGAATATTTAGATGCCATCTGAAACCCAGCAATGTAAGCAGTAGTAGTAGTAGTAGTAGTAATAGCAGTAGTAGTAGTAGTAGTAGTAGTAATAGTAGTAGTAGTAGTAGTAGTAGTAGTAGTAGTACTAGTAGTTATAGTAATATTGATACTTTGCAGATGAAGTCATCAACATTCCCTGGAGATTTGAAGCTAAACATTTATATAAGCATTTGTATATTTTCATGCACAGACTTTAACATAAATAACATGCATTATTTTTATTACCACTTCATATATACTAATACTGCTGTGATTGCATCCATTTTTACAGTACTTCAGGTCATCATGCTTACTCTTTTAGTATTTTCACAAACTATGGTCTAGGTATTACACACAAGTGTATTTAAATTAACTTTATTTTATGTATTTTATAAACTTCTAGTCACCAATGACCCTTTCTGGGACGACTGGCATGAATTGTTCCACCAGGACTTCAGAGGTCAACGCGTCACCGGTGAGTCCGTCTGTGCTCTCCGCTGCAGATGTTCTTGAGGCGTAATGAATGCCGGACCTTAATTAGTGCTTTCTCCCAGGCTCTGCTGGAGATGCGTCGGAATGCGAGTCTTATGGATCATCCGAGGGGCTGAGCAGTCACCAAGGCAACAACAAGCAGCCCGTCACCACAACAAAAACCTTATTGGGTGGGCTGGAATTCAAGCCACACCTCCCAGTGACTCGGAGCAGCAGCGGGCCCCAAGACCACAGAGGACAGAGACAAACAGAATCACTATTACATCAAGGAGAGAGCGGCCAATCAGGAGCACTCAGTTCAGAAAACCTGGCAGTAAGGACAGGGCACTCAGCGGGGCCATTTTTTAAGGTCAGGACAGATGGCCACTCTCCTCTTTATCGCTGTGCAGCGCTGAGAGAGAGCCACATTTCTCACTCCACACCTTCACTTGTTAAATATCAGCCACAAGGTCTTGACTTTCAGAGCCAGAATTTGTCCCAGCAGAGCACAGACTCTGAGACTGCTCCCACTGCCCGTTTGCCAGGGCCAGGGCAGGGAGGAGCAGACCCCAGCGCACTTGAATGGAACTCCGAGAGGTGGCATATGTGGAAAATATTGTCCAAGGAAAATGCAGACGCTCTGCCAGAAACACTAGTGTGACGCACCTGTCACTATAAGACAGAAACTTAGAGACTTGTATTAGTATGAAGATGCAGTATTCAATATTTGTCCTGGTCCATTGCAATGCACAGTGGTCATTTGCTGACTGTATAAACAATGAATGTTTATTTTAATATTATGATATGTACTGTATGTTTGTATATTTAAAAACTAAGTGGTATTTGATGGTGAATGTAGACATTATTCTAAATCTGTTTTTGTACCTCATAGCTACTCCTTGTTTAATTCTGTAATGTCCTTATTACTTGGTATTATTAAAGTTCCCAATCTCTTTCTGTTATTTCTTTACAGTTATGTCACACCTCTCTGATCAATATGTAAGTGTGTGTAACTCAGTATTTTGTAATTTATTCAGGGATTGTGTCGATACATGTCATGCCTCTCTGCCTAAGGTTGTCATCAATGTATGTTTTGCTGTGTTACTTTTATTAAAATTGTCCTTTACTCCTGTGTGATCTTCAAGTCATAACCACCCACGAGACCAAAGCTTTAGGCAAATAACGACTGACTGAACTTTTAATAACCTATTTCAAACATGCACTAGTATCAAACGACCTGAAGTGATGCATGAAGTACCCTGACTCACCACTAGATGTCAATGTAAGACCAGCAATTAAAGCCAGACACGTGCTTTTGGAGAGCTTCGCCTGTGGCATTTGAAACTTGGTACATATCTTTTGAAATTCGATGTCTTTTTAATGGCAAACTATTATTAATCACTTGGATGAAATAGTTTACAGCACAGGCTAATTAACGTGTGCCAAGTAAGAAATTCAGCAATGACCTGGAAGCATCTTAGCAGTGAGAAAAGGTAGGTGGAGAGGTGTGCTCACTGCAGACTTGTTATGGTGTATTAAAGATTTTAGCATTAACCCATTAACAAGCATAATTCTATTCGACCTGATAAACCACTTGCTCGCTCAACAGGGGATTTCCTTCAGACCCAGATTTGCGGTTCTAGGTCAAGTCTGCGTCTGTTTGGGCTGGCGCTCCATTTGGCCCGTGCGCGCTCCTTCAGACGAAAGCAAAGCGACAGAACAGGATGTCTGGATGTATTTTACAGAGAACTCATGCCTCAGTCTCTCCCTTCAATTCTCTCTGAGCTTTATTACAAAGGACAGACTTCCTACGGTCCCCTTCTCCAAACGCTAAAGAAGGAGCCAGGAGTGAAGTGTGGCAGTGCGTCTTTCTTCAGTCTCCTAAAAAAAAGGCGATCAACATCAAATATTTAATTTCACATCTTATCTGCGCAGCTCTGATGGCTGTAAGCTGATCCTTTGGCAGTGAATTCTCAACAGGGGGTCCATCTCCCGTCTGCCTCTGCTCCCTGCCATCAAGAGGCGCTCCAGGGAGGACAGAGCAAGGTCACGTAGCCAAAAAGAGACTCCAAAGTCCGGTTACAAGAGAGCGCTGGCCCCGGCTGCGTCAAGGTCGAGATGGATGCATAAATCTCAGCAGGACCAAAATAGCCCCCGGTTAAACTCATTAAGGTTATTGTTCTGTACACTGAGTAAATGAGAAGTTATATTTGGAATGAAATTATGTAAAATAAGCATGTCAAGGTTTTGTTAGTTATCTGGTAAATGCCTTGTAGTTATGGTTTAGGCATATTAATTGTAGTATTTCATCATTTGGGGTAACCTGTAAAGAGTAGTGGACAACCAGTGGATCTAACAGGTGGATTAAAGGGACAGTTCGGAATTTTGGACATAAGGCTTCATTTCCTAGTCAGCCAGAGTGTTGGAGACGTGTGGAGACACTTTTTTAAGTATTCCATCCAGTCCTTGTATTTGCAGAGGTCGCTGATGCTAGGCTAGTGCATGTTAATGGGCCATAGTTATCCTGCCACTAAACCAGTCTTACTCAAGCCACAAAACACCCAAAGCAAATCTATTATTGCGCCAGACTATTGATGTAAATATCTGCGTTGATAGAATAATATATTGAAATAAAACTAATCTTGCATCGCATGAATTTTGAGGGACTATTTTCTCATATATCAGTCCGCTGCTGCCAATCTTTCTATCAGGAAGTACAACTCGCTGCTGCTGCTCAGACATAAATCCTTGGTTTTACTTCTAAAATTATTCCATCAGTACAGACATTCACATCGACAGTCTGGCATAGTAATTGTTTTGCTTCGGGTGCTTTGTGGAGTGGGTAAGACTGTTTAAGTGGCAGGATAACTATGGCTATTGACATGCACTAGCCTAGCACCAGTGACCTCTGCAAATACAAGAACTAGATGGAATATTTTAAAAAGTGTCTCCACACGTCTCCAACACTCTGGCCCACTAGGAAATGATGTCCTATGTCCAAAATTCCGAACCGTCCCTTTAATTTTGTATCTTGGGAGGAAGCCCACTCAGACACAGAGAGAACGTGCAAACTCTATATAGTTTGGCATCGCAGCTATGGGAATTGCTAGATATATTAATAAACAAAATTTCAAGAGATCCTTCAAAGTGCACTAGGCGTGTAACTGTTCTGAAGGAGAGTATTTAATTTCCTGCTTGTCTCCATGGAGATATCATTACATGCCCTGGAATATTCCACAGTTTGACATAAACATATGGAGCTGGTGACGTGACAGTTACAAGTCATATCTGTGGAGAGACGAGCCTTACTCACTGTAACAATGACGTTTTCTTTGCATGTTTACTTTTAGCATTAGAACATGTGCAACTCAATAAATGGAAGATAGTGTATATGTATATATATACTGTGGAACATTCCAGGCAAAGCAAACCACAGAGACAACAGGTGGTGGATCCTCTGCTAAAAAAATAACATAGTGCACCTTTAAAATGTGTTATTCTTGTATGCCAAAACTTTTATTGAAAACATTTCTTATTTCTTTGGATTGGGTTTGTGTATTTTTATTAATTCAAATCAGCTTACGTTTTGAAAGCAGAACAGTTTTCCATTTGCCCCAGTATTGACCCAGAGACTATAACAATATCAATGCTTTAGACTCAGTAAGACCTCCACTGCCACTGCATTCTGTTTACTCGTGTAAATAACCGACCAAACACAATGGAGCTCTCAGTTCAAGAAAAGCTACAAGGCCTCAGCATAGTATTTCAGTATGTGATTTTGCCCACAGTTTTAACCATCTCCTTTAAACAGTGTGCAAAAAACCTCACCCATCACATTTCTCTTACTGTTTCTTTTAGACCGCTGCTGTCTGCTCACTCATGGACCTCTGAGTCTTCGCTTCTCCACCTACAGCCAGGTAATTATTTCTAGCACTGTCACTGCACTGGACAAAAACAGAACTCGCTCTAAATACTGAAAACTATACCACAAAAGTTTTAAATTCTCATAACTATTGGGATTCAGAGTGAGTACCGGGCGTGATGCAAGATCAACTTAGGTCAGCCTCGATATGTCAAGTGGGTGGGATTGGAAATTAATGACTTAGTGCCAGTGCTGTAAACTTCACAATCAAAAAGCACTTAAAATTTGCCCTATGGTTGCTGTATCTGTAACAACCTCGACTCTCCTCCTAAGCTTATGATTATAATCAGGTCTAGTTCATCCTTAATAACCGTGATTAAATTAGTCAAATTATGGGCGTCTGAAGTTCTTTCTCAGTGTGTTTCTGAGTCTTTAGAACTCGTAGTTGTCAGTGTGCTGTAGGCTTTTTTTAAAGTCCATAGATTTCCCTCGAGTGCAGTGACTGGGGTAGACAGGAGCTCCCCAGACACCCCCAAGACTCATGAATCTTCAAGAAATGGCATTCATACTTTTTCAGGGAGAAAGTACAAGAAGTCCCAAAATCACTGTTAAATAATTGTGGCTAAAGGTGCACTGTGTAACATTTCTGCTCGTGTATGGAAATGTTATTACTTTGTCTCGAATGTTTCACGGTATAGATTAAAGCTGTCAATCACGAGCGAAACAAGTAGAGGGACAAGCATTATAGCGCTACACTGCTTTACAATTCAGATCTGTGCAGAGTCGATCCAATTCACTAAAGGAATTACTGTATGTTTTGAGCAATAGAAACATCTGTAATGAATAAATGATATATGGTAGTGGAAAACTTGCGCAGTGCACATTTAAAGAACACATTATGCTTTTTAACATACATAGATCATAATTTTACACTTACTTTATTGATCTAAAATGGGTTAATAATAGAAAGGGGTCCATTGATTTCCTGTTCAAAACTGCAGAACTGAGAGCCTTGCCTGAACAGCCAGTCGCTACTACATTCTCATTGAACCCAGAAGCAACTGGCACCAGACAATAGAGCGTGAAAAATCTCCATCCAAACTTGAGAAGATCCAACTACAGCCTCTAATTTGTTAGCCAGACTGGCGCCACCTAGTGCCTCCGTTAAATTTAATTTCTCTCCAGCAACTAGGTCAGGAAAAAACAGAAAAACAGTCACAAAAACCCCAGAAGTGGAAGCTCGGGCAGCAACCAATCAGCAAAGAGCCATATATTCAGTATTGTCAGTGATTCCTGAGATTGAGGATTTAAAGCCAGAATAAAGAGAATGTTTGGTGAATTTCATCAAGGGGAAAGACGTTATTGCCCTTCTTCTTCCGGGATTTGGGAAAAGCTTAATATACCAGTTAGCCCTGGTAGCGGTGCATTACATACATGACTACCAAATAGCAGTGATTGGTTAAATGATAGAAAGGACTCACCTACCGTTGAGGGAATGAATTCTAACAGTGCGAGGTCAGACAGTTTCTACGAAGTGAAACCGGCTGATGAATCAGGCTACTAATTTGTAACATGTGTCTCTCAAATGTGGAAGACATCTCTCTGAAATTCTCGTATCATTCCTCTTCGTCTTTTACCTGAGATAAGTAATAGTTTGGTGTTTCAGTTGTTGGTTCTGTAAAAATCTGCCCTGTTTTTCAGTCTTTTATGTAGATTTTCTCCTTTTTTATCTGTAAGGCGCAGTTTAATTTTGATGCAAACAGACCATGCGGCTCTTTGATTGGTTAATCCACCTGTCAGTCACGCCCTCTGAAATCAGGGAGACAGGATATGGCTCCAGATCCACTCGTCTTTGTAAAGTTTTGTCAGACTTGCCTTGCCTCTTCATAGTGACAGTTCATCGTAGCAAGCAGTGGATTTTCATTTACTTTTTTATTGTTAACAAAGAGCAACGTGACATTTTTCTTACAATGGCATGAATATGAAATTTATTTATTTGGTCTGAATGATGCCATGAACTGAACAAAATTCAACCACTGTGTTTTTAATAATTTTGCTAAATGTCTAACAACTCAGTGCCAGCCAATTACAGCCTCAATAAATGTGACAATACTGAAGGATAATAAAAACTATTTCTGCTCCTACTGAAGGTGAAATCATCAGTAGAGGTCATATGAATAACTTGTTCGTAGGAAGTGAGTACATGCTTCACATCTTAAAATACTCATTCATGTGAACTTGGCCTTCTCCGGTCTATC